TATACACACACATATATATGCTATATATATGTATATATATATTCAGTAACCACTCTGCCCATTTGTACTTAGGGTAAGAATTCTGAGTAGATTTACAAGACTTTTGATAAATGAATTACGTGCAGATTAACAGGGCCATTGTTACAAGAATCTACCAGAACAAGGCCTGTGCTGGAGCATGGAGGTTTAGCGCACCAGAGAAAGCCTACCTAGACTACCCTGAGGAGAAGAATGTGATAGGAGTGCTGCACATATAGTGCTGCTTATATAGAGCAGCAGAAGAGGCAGAATCATCTGCTGCAGTCAGGGCAGACACCTCCTGAAGTCGAGGAAGGGCGCACAGGAGAGCTGCAGCAGTCCTGGCTACAGTTTGCAGGTATATCAGGAAAAGCAGCAGTTTGACAGCTGTCATCTCTCTAAAATGGAGGGGTTTAAATAAGATGGCTTCCACTTTGAGGGAGTCTCCAGGAGGGGTAATCATGTCAGTTACAGCTTATTGGAGTTTGGGGATTTGAGGGATGTCAACAATGGGCCCAAATCCCGACCTGATCTCTGCTCCAGTAGTTTCCCAGCGACTTCTCATAGAAGTGCATCAGCACCAGGAATAGCGGGACCAGAAAGTGGCACTGGATGTCAATCAAGTTACATTTTTCAGAGAGGCTGAGAGGCAGCCTTAGGTGTTACAGGGAGACACTGGAGCATTGACTCCGTCTACCCTCAAGAGACCTTGGGGGAGTAAGTAGAAGTGAAGAGAGAGATGTGCTGGCTGTTGGTAGAACCACGCCCTCTTTACCTGTGATGGGAAAAGGGTCAGGTTGGTAGAGTTCTTTCTATATGTTTCATCTCGCTTTTCAATTACCGTGTAGGACACTTTGCTGCAGAAGATATAGCCTCGCGGGTTGATAGTTTGAACAAGAACATGGAATCCCTCTGTGCAAGAGCTAAGAGGCGGCAAGATGATCTTGAGGCTAATGTCCATTTACAGCAATACCTGGCCGACCTGCACGAAGCAGAAGCATGGATTAAAGAGAAGGAGCCAACTGTGGACAACTTGAACTATGGGGCTGATGAAGAAGCAGCCGGGGTGAGCTGGGGGTGGGATGAGTTTTCACCAAATGCTGCCAAATTATTAATTCCAAGCTTGTGCAGATTATGAGACAGCTCCACATTCTCCTTGATTATGTGGGGACTCCAGAGTGATCACCTCTGGCTTTCATCTTCTGGAATACCCTCAGAGTTCACAGGGATTCCCAAAGATGCACTGTGTTTTTCCAATCCTACAAAAATCCTTTGATTATCTAGTATCAGAACTCAAAACGTGTGACCAACGATCCACGGTTGTCTTTGTCCCATTTTAATTTAATTTTAATTTTTTATCAAAATATTATTATACAGATAGATACACTGGGGCAAGAGGAACCTCAAATATCATAATTACACTTGATATCTACTTCTTTATTCTACTCATTGTCCTATGGGAAAACTGTATATTTCAGAAAACTTAGGCATTAGAAATAATGGGCTGGTGCATTTAATGTTATGCTACTATTTATCCTAAGGGGAACACTAGGAATAGCACCCTCTTTCAGCTACAATGTGTATTGATTTTAAAAAATGTATAAATTTGAGCTAATCTCAACTTCAGTAAATATTATTGAAATTGTTGTTTGTGCATTAACTCAAACTTTGTGAATCTTGAAACACAGGATTAAAAAAAACTTATATTAAAAGAAAAGTAGCTTTTACCAGGATTTAAGACAGTCAGCATAATCCAAAATCATGTGGGTGAAGCATCCACCTGGTGTGTTTGTTATTCCTACTGCGCTTTTTCTGATCATCCTCTTATCTATAAATGCAGGCTCTTCTCAAGAAGCATGAGGCCTTCCTGATGGACCTCAATGCATTTGGAAACAGTATGAAAGCACTACAGGATCAAGCAGAAGCCTGCCAAGTAAGATGAATTTAGCAATGACAGGAATCACGTTTCTTGCCACAGAAGCAAAGGAATTTTCTTTATTATCAGTTGTTACTTCCTAAAAAACAGGAAACAGTTGCAAACAAAATATGTTTAATAATCCTTTAGGCAGGAACTGAAACATCTTTATAACATCAGCAGAGATTTAGTTCAAAAGAAATTTTCAGTTAACCTTACCATGTGTTCACTGCTGTCCATATTGGCTTCTCTCTCCTCTTATTTCCTTCCTTCCTTCCTGTTTGCTTGGCTCCTTTTTAATCCCCTTAAGTTCTTTCCTTCATTCTTTAGTCTTTTTACATTAATGTTTATGAATTAGCTACCATAGGCAGGCATGAATAAAAATAATCCTACTTACATGAAAATTACAATTAATTAAAGGGCCAGACTATTAAATAATCTATGCATACAGTACATACATGAACAATAACAGTGAAAAAGAATCCCAAATGAAAGAACCATTTGTTCCCCTGAAATAAGAATACTAGAAGACAAAAAATATTCATAGCTAAAAGAAACTATTTTATCTGTTCTTTTTTATTTAATTTTTTTTAGTATTGAACAGAAATTTATTTGGCTCCCAGTTCTGGATGCCAGAAGTTCATGGCTGTGGTTCTATTTTTTGCTTGGTGCTCGCTGAGGGCCACCTTGCTGTGTTGTCCCATGGCAGAAGGCCAGAGGGTTAGAGAGCAAAATTGCAGCCTCCAGTGAGAGTCAGTATCTGTCCATTCCCTGGAATGGATCCATCATGACACAAACACCTCCCATTAAGCCCCACCCTCACACTGCTGCTCTGGGATTGAGTTTCCAGCCTATGCTTTCTGGGGGACACATTCAAACCACACCAGGGTTAAATCCACGGCAATACAGGACTCCCTCTAGTGTGCTGTTCTTTTTTATATGTGTGCTTTTCAGTGTGGATAAGAAGGAAAAGTGTTTTTCTAGTCCATAAAGCATGTGAGTAAATGCACTGAAGCACAAAACCATCAAGTGTATTTGGGGAATTGGAAATGAAGTTGGTTGAGAGTGTGGGAGCATCTAGGGCCTAAAGCGGAAGGGATTATTATGAAGAGATGAAATTGGAATCAAGTGAATCATATAAAATTGTTTCCTGCATGTAAAGGAATAAGAATTAAGAGAGTTGAATTCTTACAGTCAGGGAATCTTTCCAATGAGAAGAGCAGAATTCACATACATGCAAAGAAAAAATCTAGGCTCAGTGTGTCAAGTCGATATACAGAACTCCTGCCTGGGACGTTGCCAGGCTGTACACAGAGGTTGAATAGGAAAACAGACAGATTTATGCATTGCATATTGTAAAGAATTGGGAATTGAAGGATATTAAGTCAAAGGACCAACTCCAAAGGTGTGGGTGATTGCTGAAGGAAGAGGAGTTATTAGTTTCCTCATTCTCTCAGAGATATAATATTTACAGAAAGTAAAACTCAGGAAACTCCCCTTGGAGAGCAAACTATTTACTGAAAGTGACATGGAAGATGTTTTTAATTCAGTTTATGTTCTCGATTTTTAAAATTTTGTGGCCTTACCCTCGCTGTGGGCTACTTACCCCTTAAATGCTCTACCAGGTCCACAGTTCCTTGACATAATGACTTAAAAGCCAACCAGACAGGAAGAACTGCTAGTAGAGGCCCAGGGAAATGGGAAGGTGATGGCCACGGGGACTCTTTCCCTGTAACAATGTTCTGAAATGCTGATAAGCAGAATCTCTTTGGCCCTTAAAGGACTGTATCATTTCTTGTACTTGAAGAAGAGTAGCTTAGAGCGTTTAATGCTTCTGACAAACTGCATATTTGCTTGCTCACTTGGTGTCCGTATTTCCCGAACTGCCAGCATTCTGATGCATGTTACAGTATATCCGTACCTCTGACGGTAACTGTCAGCTCTTTTTATTTTTGGCCTTCTTTCTTCCTTTATTCATAAAGCTTGTAGTACATAATGATTACATTTATCATGGTGAGTTGGTATGCACACATAACGTGTTCATTCTTTCCCCCCTTTACTCCTCCCATCCTTCCCTGCTCCTTCCAACTCTGTGTCCCCATCCCATTTGTAAAAGCTCTATTTCTACTTTTTTCTTCAATTATTTTTTCATCCCATTTCCTTCTCCTCTCTCCCCGCTTCCTCCATCTCTCGTTCCCCTTCCCATTCTCAACAGATCGCCCTTCTTCCTATTGTCTATCTTTATTTCGCTCTTTATTACTGTTTTGGGTTTTTTCTCTAAGAGAAACCACGTGATTCTTAAGCTCTGTGTATCTGGTTTATTTTCCTCTTGCAGTCATGGGAAAGGTTCCAGCCAGAGGCTTCCCCCTCCCACACGGCTCCAGGGACTGCCCTCCACAGGCAGGCTCCCCAGGGAGGTAGTTCCAGTGGGTAGCTCTGATCTGCTTCCTGTTTCATTTTGTTTCTCAGCAACAACAGGCTGCACCAGTGGGGGACACTGTTCAAGAAGCAAGAGTAGTGGCTTTATTCGACTTCCAGGCCCGTAGCCCGCGAGAAGTCACCATGAAGAAGAACGATGTCTTAACTCTGCTTAGTTCCATCAACAAGGTGAGTTGTCCTTTATCTTCCTTTTCATCAGCAAAATGATTCTTCCACAGCTATCCCTTCTAACCTGCTAGGTATTCAGACTTCGACTACACAACATTTTTTATCACTTTATCTCTTAGTAATTTATAACTTAGTAAGTAGTACATTTTCTCCAGGTATTATGCCTATGATCCCATGCATACCTTTCGGAAGTATAATCCTAATTTTACAGTTAAAACAATGAAGAATCAAAGAAGTAAGGTTTGATTGTTCCTTTCTTCCCATCTCTCTGCTTGTGCCTGCTGTGTCACTCTTCCTAGGGATGGAACGACAATGTCTGTGGTTAGGAGGAGCCTGACAAAAGGGAAGGCTTTTATCAACTTGACTTTTTAGACTTTATACCCAAGAAAATTGTGAAAAAAATGCTGCCTGGGATTTTAAACATATTTTTCATAAGAAGTAATTTTTAATCTTTTCATTCCTAATTCGTCTCCAAAGAGCTCTTGATAGGCGGAGAATTTGTGATGCAGTTTCTCTGAGAGTGACTGAGTGCTTTAGAGAGGCGCATTGTCTCTGTCAAATCAGCTGCGGGGTGTCCCCTTTCTCTTTGTCTAGGCTTCTGGATTTCACCACATACTTTACACATACAGTTAAAGAAATTAACTGTAGAGTGGTTAGAACAGCAGTGCTCCAAAAAAGAAAAGAATGCATTTGCACTAAGGAATTTGGGGCAATTCAGTGGTTAGTACCTCTGAAAGTAGGGTAGGGAGGAGAAATTATTGTGCCTCATTGTCATGCACAGATGCTCCACCCTCAAGAAGCCCAGCTGAATTCTTGGTGAAGAAAGAGCCCATCATCAGGATGACTGTCTTTGGGTTTGAAAGCCTTCCCCCATATTTAAGGATCTGACATCAAATCTGTGGATTTCAGGGTCTTGCTCTGCAATCCCTGAAACTCCTTCCTTGTAGCATGTGGAAATCACATGCTGCCTCCCCCACCCCGCCGCTCCCTCTAAGCAATGGTCAGCCTTTCTTGGCCACCAGCCTCTGTCTGTGCCTACAGACTTAGGGATTAGTAAAAATCTGTCCTGCTTGGGAATCTTCCAAGACTTAGGGAATCTGTTTTCCCTTCAGGACTGGTGGAAGGTTGAAGCTGATGATCACCAAGGCTTTGTCCCAGCAAACCATGTCAAGAAACTGGCCCCAGATGAGCTCCCGATGCTCCCACAGAGGAGACGGGAAGAGCCAGTCAACATTGCCCAGCGCCAGGAGCAGATTGAACACCTGTAAGTTCTAGAGGCTGGAGGACTGGATGGTGTTTCACCAAATATTTCCTATTGATTGAAGGTTCCCATTTGTGACTCAGTGTCTGTTCAGTTAGGGATGAAAATTCACAGATTTTAAGGACTGGAAGTAAACTCAGGAACCGTCAAACATTTAAGATTTCATATGAAGAAAGGAAATGCCAGAACCATGAAGCCAGTTGCCTGAGATACTGTCTTTCTGACTCCCTGCCTAGCATTTCTTCAAGACTATGAAAATAACTTCTGCCATCCCTATGAGCTTCCTTCTCTCTGTTTTGATTCAGTAGTCAGTCTGCAGTAAAACTTCAAAATGGGGAAAGGATGTTGCCAGCCGTATTTCTGAGGCATGGGAATTCTTATTGTTTTTCAATGTAATTCCGTGTCTCTCTGCTCCTACTGCCTTTTTACTTCCATCTTCATTTCTTCCTCTCCTTCACTTTTTAAAAACTTTTTCTTTCCTTCCTTTTTGTCCCTCACCCTTCACTTCTTTCACCTGTACAGACTCTGTATTTTCTCCATCTTTTATCTGATGTTTCCCATCCTTTTCATTTCCTGCTCAGGTACCGCTCCCTCCTCGATCGGGCAGAAGAGAGGCGACGTCATCTACTACAACGTTACAATGAGTTCCGGCTGGCTTATGAGGCAGGAGATATGCTAGAGTGGATCCAAGAAAAAAAGGCAGAAAACACTGGAATTCAGCTAGATGATGTCTGGGAGCTGCAGAAAAAGTGTGATGAGTTCCAAAGGGTGAGAAGGGGAAGCTTCTCTAGACACTGTTTTGAGGGTTGTCCCTGTTTCCTTTTATCCCATGTCTCTCTGACATGATTTTTACGGTTCCCTTCATACTCATTCGTTATCCTTGCTGACGATACAGATAGCTTCACAGCCCTGGTCTTCCTCCGGGCGCTGTCATTGTTAACAGCTGGAAGACAACTGCAGAGGAAGCAATACCGTAACTTTGCAGCCTGCAGTCCCTGCTACTCCAAAATCCTAATCTGCCCAGATGCTCCAAAACTTGCCCTGTAACATACTCTGTACATGATATCCAGGTTGAGATGGAAAGTTGTAGGATTTTGTTTTAGAGTTTGAGGTAAAAAGAATGCCCAGACTTTATAGCCAGGCAATGTCTCTCTACCTAAAAACTTTTCATCTTGCTTTCTTTGACAATTATTCCATTATCTTTACTAGCATGAAGTAAATTTCTTTCTTCTTTTCTATTATATTTAAAACATGGAATTATATATATTTATATGCTTTATGTAAAGTGACATATAATAATATAATACATGATATATAAATGTTACATTTAAAATTATATAAAATATTATACATAAATTATATATGTATACAATCTCACTCTTTTTTATATAAAAATCTCTCTAGATAGGGATTTCCTTCTTTCTCAGAGATAGAGTTTTCTACCAACATCCCTTACTATGGAAAAATTGTAACTCAGTCAATGAAAATACTATGAAGGTAGAGGAATTTATAGTGATGTAAAATAATAATACACAGCCCAGGTATGGACCCCTCTGAGAGTATTCATTAATTCAGGGAAAGACTTTAAGAAACTAAGAAAATAAATGTGCTACAAACGTCAACAAAAGACTAGTTCCCTTGGAAAGCTGTAGGTGGCCACTTGGTGTTGGGGCTTAACATACTTTTCTAGTGGCGAATAAGAAGAAAGCAGCTTGTATATTTGACACTAGCAATATGTTTTAATAATACTTAGCCAAATGGGAACCAAGGTGGACAGGTAAATTTACAAGTATTTACCGTATTTTGCACAAATTCTTCCATCCAGGATTTGAAGACCAATGAGCCTCGGCTAAGGGAAATCAACAAGGTAGCTGATGAACTGCTATTTGAGAAACTTCTAACACCAGAAGGTGCTCACATCCGGCAGGTAACTAAGACTCCCTGCATTTCTCCTCAACACCAGGTGCTATAGGACATACAGGATGTCATGGCAGCGTGAAAATGATTAGCGAAAAGGCCAAGGACAGTAGTCCAAATAGTTGAGCCAATTCATTACCTAAGTAAACTTAATTCAGGTTTAAATTAATTCAGGTGTATGTATTGTCCAGATAAAGTAAAAGCAGGCTTATTTATTAACATTTATTATCTTCTATGTTCTCACATAGCTATTTTGAGGAGGGAGGAGGCCTTCCACCAAAACTCCAACTTTTGAATTATAGCTGTGGAACACGTATACATGAAATGATATGAAATCCATTCACTGCAACACATACTCACCTCCTTCTCGCCAACACACTATCTAGGGCTCAAATGCTTGAATGCGAAAAAGTGCCCATCAAGAAGTTATGGCAACAGGAAGAGGTTAATCCAGAGAACTTACTCGAAGAGATAGGTTCTGATAAACATACCGAGAAAGAGAATTTCAAAAAAGAAATAATGAGAAAATTATTAGAAAGAGAGGAAATTCTTCACTTGATTTGTGTCTGGAGCTAGGATTCCATAAACAAACAAACAAACAGTACACTTTAATAAAAACACCAGTCTTTCTCTGGGTTGTAAAAAGCTAGTGAGGATGTATTTCTCTCCTCTTTCTTTGGCGATTGTCACTGGATGAGAAGGAGAAAGAATATACATGAAAATAATATACTTATTCCCTACAGAAAGTAGGGCTGGAGGAGAGACCACTACCTCTATTCAACTCAAAATGTGGCAAGTTATTATGTTTTCCCTAGAGGAAAGTGCCAGCTTCTAACTCTAAAAGGAATATTTTTTACTCACTTTCAGAGTAATGTAGTCTCTGTTAAATTAAACAAAGATGTGATAGGAAGTATCGATTTTGCTCCGAGGCTAATGGTTTCAGTTCCATCCACCCTGGAACACCTATTTAAAAAGAAAACAAACCCTTTTCTTTGCTACACTAGCATAAAAATGGCCCGAGCTCGGGCTGTCCAAGAAAGCAGTAATGTTATACAATTTCTGAGGGAAATGACATGAAAGCAATAATTTAAATCTCAGCTAGTAACAGATACTACTGAGCTGTCTGAGTGGGCTCTCTGTCTAAAGTCTGATTTATCTGTGTCCTTTAGGAATTGAATACCCGCTGGGATTCCTTGCAGAGGCTTGCAGATGAACAGCAGCAGCTGCTAAGCAGTGCCCACGCTGTCCAGGTATTCCATAGGTAAGAATTTTAACTGCAAAAATTACTGCTATTCTAGAATTCACTCTCAGAACTCACAAGTCTAGTTACTATGGCAGAATCACAGCCATTAGTTTAACATTTCTCCCTGAGTCATTGACAGTTTGCTAACGGGGATCGAGTTTTTCAGCAATAGATATCTTACTTGTACATTGTTACCCACGAAGACAACAAATTTCAACATTCTAATGCCTGGATTGAACCCTGGCACATATTTAATAGTTACATATGTTTGCATGATAGTAATTCAAACTTGAATTGTAAACAAGATGTTTAAATCATTATATTCCTAAGCTAGAAGCAGCCAATAAAAGGCAACAAATACTGAGTCTGACTATAGCTTCTATGTCTTTTTAGGTTTCATTTAGAAGCTCATGTCTGCACTAAGAAATAGCCATGTGCATACAAATAAGTAAACAAATAAAAATTATAAAAACAGAAACCAAAGATATTCCTGTGTCTAATATGTTTTTAAACATTCAGGGAAGAGAAAAAAGAGATCAGATGGATCTGGCTGGTTCAATTAGCTTTCAATGGAAATCTCTGGAGTGTGGTGGTGGAACGTGTGGCTTCTCTCCTTGGACCATTTGGCTTGAACCTGATCGCCACTGTTTGGAAGTGGTGTTAACCTGAGAAACACTTATCTTTTTTGAGCCCCACTATTTTGAAATGTATGATAGGCATGATAATAGTAAGTTAAAACTATTAAAGGAGTCTCAGAGTAATAAAGGATGGTAGTGGTGGTGGTGGAGTTGGAGGTGGTAGAGAGTTCCTTGCATGCCCAGCTAGTCTGCCTCTGGTGCACATCACTACTCCTAAGATCTCTATCCTCTCATACATCAGAGAAGCAGATGACACAAAAGAGCAGATTGAGAAGAAATGCCAGGCCCTCAGAGTTGCTGATCCGGGGTCAGACCTGCTCAGTGTTCAGGCCCTTCAGCGCCAGCATGAGATCTTTGAGAGAGACCTCATCCCTCTGGAGGAGAAGGTGAGACATGAACTTCCAAACTTTCTTAGTACCTCCCTCTTTATTTTTACACTGACAATAGCACCCTTTTGGTGGTTTCTTTTTCCCAGCCTCCTCATTTTTATGTTTCACTTTATCTTGCACCATATTTGTTCTTCTCTGATACCCTGAAGCAAGACCACAAGAAGGACGTAACTCCCATGACCACTAACGTGGGAGAAAACATATTGGACTTCTGAGTGAGAAACCTGTGTCATTTTGTCTCTTTAGTGAGAGTCAAGTGATCAGACTTGGGCAAGTAGTTAGAGTTCAGTGGTTGAGGAGAAAGCCAATCCCTGAATGCTCCAGCCTGTGCCTGAGCAGGGCGTGTGGTATCTCCTCAAACAGAAATTGAATAAGTTTAACCCTAAGCCAAACCCCAAAGTAAAATCTGAAGCCTTCTAGACACATTGGAGGAAAGATACAGCTTGGAATTATTGTGTGAAACAAAAAGAAATCATAGAATTGTCTACCTTGGAAAGACGCACGAGGAACCTGACATGAGAATCAGGACCCTTGGGTTCTCTAACTGATGTTGCCAATAATCAGCATAGTCACTTAACCGTTCTTCCCACACAACTCCTTGTTTTTAAAAGAAGACTGGTTAGGTCAATCTTTTTTTTCCCCCATTAAGTTTATTGGGTACATTTAAAGCAAACAATACAGTTACATTCATCATTAGGATCTTGTACCTTTACATGATATATCTTGGTTCTCATTTATTCCCCATCCCCCTGCCCTCCCTTCACCCTCTTCACCCTCCCTATTTACTAAGACTTTGTTTCCATTTTTTTCCTTTTTCACATTTTTCTTTTCCCTCATTTCCTTTCCCCTTCCCTTCCCACTTTTCCCTTTTCTTCCTATTTCACACTCTCAATTATACCATTTGAACCTTATTTACACTTTTAGTTTTTCACACCAAAGAAACTATTCGGTATTTACTCATTTGTCCTATTTATTTCACTTAAGAGTGTCGCCTCATTGAGCATCCATTCAGCTATAAATGTTTCTAGTTTCTCATTATGGCTGAGTAGGACTCCATTTTGTAGAGAAAACACATCATCTTTATCCAGTCTCCAGGTGATGGTCATTTGGGCTGTTTCCAAGTTTTAGCTATTACAAACTGTGCCTCTATAAACATGGGTGCACATAAATCACTGTGGAATGATTCTTTTAAGTCTTTTGGAAAGACACCCAGCAGAGGGATGGCTGAGTCAAATGGAACCTCTAGTCCTAATTCTTTGAGGTATCTCCATATTGATTTCCACAGTGGTTGCTCCAGTCTGCACTCCCACCAACAACGGAGAAGGGTTCCTTTCTCCCCACAACCCTGCCAACATTTGTTATTGGTTGATTTCATGATAGCAGCCATTCTTTCTGGGGTAAGGTGGAATCTCAGTGCTGTTTTCATCTGATCTCTCGAATGTAGGTTAATCTTGAATACGTCAGAGTTATGTGAAATAAAAGGCTGATGCTATTTTATCAAATATTAAGAAGATGTGATTAAACATTAGTACCATCTATTTGGGAAGGTGACTCCCAGGAAGTAGGATTCTTTTGTTTGCTAAGATTCAGGTGTCACACTGGGCTACTTATCAGATCTCTTGCCCCTTCCCAGGTGACTATGTTGGGGGAGACAGCAGAGCGGCTCAGTGAGTCCCACCCAGATGCAACTGAGGACCTGCAGAGACAGCGAACAGAGCTAAACAAAGCCTGGGATGACTTGAAGGAGCTTACAAAGGATCGCAAGGAGAGCCTGAGTGAGGCCCACAAATTCTACCAGTTTCTCAGCAAGGCCAGGTAAAACTCAAAAGGGAAACTGCCCACTTGGCAGATGGGCGATCCCCATACCTGGCAGAGCTGCCAGCAACAGTTTGGGTTCAAATGCTGTTCACTGCTGGGTTGGAAGATAGCACTGTGTCCAAGCCTTACCTCTGTTAAGACTGAAAGATGGCAGGTTCGACAATTAAAGCCATAAAATATTGACAGTTGAAGGGATGTGAGGTTACATAGGCCAATGAAGTAAGCTATAAAGTGCATAATATATGAAGTGACTGTTTCAGAATTTATAGGGCATGGTGGTTTTCTTTCTGCTGGGAGGCAGAGAAGGATATAGATAACCATGGTGAAACATAACAAAGCACATATTTTAAACCCACAACAATGGGAATCCAGAGCAAGAGACAGAGAGAGAGAGAGAGAGAGAGAGAGAGTGAAGCAGGTGCTGAATTATACATAAAGTAGCATTTTATTCCTTATTGGTCAGGATGTTGACACAAGAGAGAAGTATTCATACAGATGCAACTGTGTGAATAAAATCACAAGGATAAGAAAAGCAAAGAATGCCCATGAAGTGGGAGAACTAGAACATGAATTTGTATGTTGGGAGTGGTAAGGAGAATAGCAAGAGATAAGTTTAGAATGTTGTGATCAAATCCTGGAGAATTTTCAGTGTCATGCTACAATGTAGACATTATCACAACCCAAAACTTACCTTGCAAATACGCACTTTGGGGAATACTTCTGCCACCCTTTTTATCATTCTGTTTAGGGATGCATTTGGAATTGAAGGTCTAAGAAATTGAAATTTAAGAAATAAGCAAAATGATTGCATTTGTTTTCAGCAGTTCCTCCTCCAATTTAGCAACCCTGGAAATCTGTATGTAGTTTTTCCACATATAAATAAATAGAACCATAACTGTCACTGATATATATGCATACATTAGTAGGATTCTGGGTCAAATGCTGCCTCTCTCCTTATGAAATCTTATTTCTCAATATTACAGAAGTACAGCAATGTTCTCAGCCTTAAGGGATACTGACACTTTATTTTATCACTCTTTGGTACTTTTGCTTTGAGTTTTTTAAACAGCTACCAGTGTCTATGTTCTGTTTGTCTCCCCCGACCCCAACCTCAAGTTGAGTTCCCAGAGGGCATAGATAACATTTTTTTCCACAATGTTTGATATCTAGTAAGCACCCAATATAACTTAGTTGCTTGAATATATCAATAAATTAGTTTATAAAAAAGTCACCTAGGGGCTGGAGATTTATCTCAGTGGTTTGGTGGCTTGCCTTGCAAGCGCAAAGACCCGAGTTCAATCCCCCGTACCAAAAGAAAAAAAAAAAGTCATCTCTTCTCCAAAGCTTAGGACTCTTTTTAAGCAAACAAGCTTAGATATATTCTTTATGAGACATTCAGTACATATAATTTTAAAGTTAATGGATGGCTGACATCTGTCCTCTGGAAGAACAAGTCTTAGTTTATCTTGTTTGACTTCTTGACTACTAAGAGAAGATCAGGAAGCAGATCATGGTTTAATGAATAGTGTGTGACATGCATGTATATGTGTGTACTTGTGTGTGGAGGGGCATGATTGTGTTGGGGATAAAAGGAAAAGAAAAGTTATTCCTTCCCTAAGAATCCTTCCTCAAACCACTTAAAGGGACAGGAATATAGGAATAATGGGATATTTAAGAGCCCAGGATTCTAACGATCTGTCCATGAGCAAATTGCTTACTTTCTCTGAGCTGACTTCTTCATCTTCAAAAAGGAAGTAAAGCTATTCTCAGAATTCTCTATATGATTACTTTAGAAATTAAAATAGGTAATATATATGAAGAAATTTCCAAATGCAAGGGATGTCTATTACTAAGTAATAGTTTTGCAGTGAAAACAGCAAACAGTATGGCATATAAACTACACAAAGCCAGTTAGAAAATATTACTTTGGAAATGTATTCTAGATGGTAAATTTGTAGAAAGTCCTGTATCCAATTGTAATATCGTCTTGCCAATCCCAGTTATGTCTGTTTCTCTAGCGACCTAGAGAATTGGATGAAAGTCATTGGTGGTATAGTGTCATCACAGGAACTGGGCAGTGATTTAACTGGCACAGAGATCTTGCTAGAGCGACACCAGGTATGCATGGTGATAAAATCCTCAGCCACTAATCCCTTGATTTGATAACCTGGCCTCATTAAGCATTTTTCAACAGAATTTTCCTCACTAAGAATCTTTTTCTGTTTCCCCCCAGGAGCATCATAGTGAAATGGAGGCCGAGACCCCCACCTTCCAGGCCTTAGGAGAGTTTGGCAGAGAACTTATTGACAGTGGGCACAGGAAAAGCCCTGAAATTGAGAAAAAGCTTCAAGCTGTCCAACAAAGCAGAGATAATCTGGAGAAGGCTTGGGAAGACCGCAAAAAGATGCTAGAGCAATGCCTGGAATTGCAGGTACAGAAAACTCCCAATAGTTAAGCAAATTTAGTTTAAGTCTCTTTTATGCATGAATTTTTACGTGGTTATCCCAGGTACTCAATAGGATTTATGTAATAGGATTTATGTGTTGTAAACACAGGGGTATCTCTTGATTATTTGGCACTATATCCTAAATTGACTATTTCTCTCTTCTCTGCTCTTATTCTTATTAGAAATGATAAATTAGATGGTGGTTAGGCCTGGTCATAGGGATAATTGTTATTTATTGAGTAACTAAGACACTGATTGATTTTCATTGAGAACCTACTATATGCTGGTCCTGGTATCAAAGAGATTAATGAAAGAATGATTTGTCTGTCACTGGCTTTTTTTGGGGGGGGTGTTTTTTATTCTTTTGCTTGTTTGTAGTTTTTTTGGTAGTCCTTGGAATTAAACCCAGGGCCTTGCCCATGCTAGCTATGAAATTAGACATGTAGTATATAAATCTTTCTACTATGGGAAATTGTTGTTAAAAAATGCATATGGACTTTCGAGCTAAAGAGGAAGGGAGTGATTACAGCTTTTGAAGGAAGGATGAGGAATGTCACGTTACCTTATGGATAATGTTTAACAGAAGCTTAAAAAAAATAACTAGTCCATCTCTAAATGGCATAGGATATGGGAAATATCATTTCAAAATTGGAAATAATTCAAATAAAAACATGAAGTATTCACCCAGGAAAAAGATAAAAGTTTCAGTATAGCTAAGATTCATTGCATGAGTGTTTGGAAGGATATAAGCCCACTTTTCAGGATCCTTTGTAGTATCTCGCAAGAGGCTCAAGACCATTTTCTCTGCCTGCCTGGAATACACATAGCATCTAACTGATGTTTTCCACCACAGTTCTTCCAAGGAGACTGTGAACAGGTTGAGAGCTGGATGGTGGCACGTGAGAATTCCCTGAGGTCAGAGGACAAGGATTCCTTAAAGAGTCTCGAGGCCTTGGTGAAGAAACGAGATGATTTGAAAACAGCAATCTCTGCCCAGGTAATAATTAATATAAACTTCCAACAGCTATTAGTAAAAATAGAAATCCTTCATATTTCTCTGGCTCTGTAACTAATTAGTATCATGGCACAAATTTGCTTCTTATTGAAAACTTTGAGGCAGGAAAAGTAGCTTGACACTGGACATTGGCTTTCCTAAATCACAAGTGGCATCTGGACTTGCTTATTTTAAGTCCAGCATTGTAAAGCTCCAATTTTAGAAATAAAAGTGATTTTATATATAATCTATTACAATTTGTTATCTAATACTGGATTCACCCTCTATAATAATCATGAAAAGGGCGTGTTCTTTAGGAAACTCAGTACCAGGCAAGTCGCCCATCTCAGTATAATTGTTACTTGTTTCTCCTCTCACTGAATTAAAATCCACTTCCCTAAAAAAGGGCACTTACTCATTGTTCCTAAGCCAAAAAAGATATCTCTGTTCTTCTTTAGGGGGAAATCTGGGATTATATCAGTGACCTAATTTCCGTTCATTTGAGATTTTTTATTTTGGTTTATCTAGGAACAAAAGATCAACAACCTAGAACAATTTGCTGATCGGCTTATCGCTGATGACCACTATGCCAAGCGAGAGATTGCTGCTCGTCTCCAGAAAGTACTAGACAGGTCAGGCCTCCTGTTACAGGAAGATGTAGAAAAGTGGCCTCTTTGCTAGTATTGTGATGGGGGTGACACAATACATTCTTATCTTTTCTAGATTTTTTATCTTGACATCTTAGGAAATTTTCTGATCTAGAGTTGTGGAATAAAAGACGTAAAATGTGCCTTAGAATTTACTTGACTTAACCATTGCATTTTATATCTGAAAACAATGAGAATATATGAAAGAAATGGGGCAGGTTGAAAAATGGAAATACTGATATATATACAGCTATTAGAACAGAGGGCAGTGTGGAAGGCAAAGAGTGATTTGGTTCCCTCCTCCAGATGGAATGCTCTTAAGGAACTGCTGAATGCTGAGTGGGAAAACCTTGGGAATATGGCTGACCTGAAACAATTCTACCATGACCTTGAGGAGCTGAAAGAATGGATCGAAGAGATGCTACCTATAGCCTGCGATGAATCCTACAAAGACACCACCAACATACAGGCAGGTTCAAAATAGGAATCTTGGAAATTTTTGCCATTTCCAGCTTGTTGGTTGGAGGTCCCATCCCACCCCATACTGACCAGTCCTCTACTATTAAGACCACCGTGTCTACCCTCGGGACTTCTGAGTTTAATGTGGAGCAAGCAGGCCCTACAGAAGTCATAAACACCTTGGTGATGATAATATTAATCTTTCCCTTTAAATATAATTTACCTTGTCTTGTTTTCTTAAATGAAAAGATAATGTTATTTTTGCTTTGCTTTCAGAGGAAGTATCTGAAACACAAGGCATTTGACAATGAAGTCAGTGGTCGAAAACAGGATGTAGAAGGAGTCATGGAACTGGGCAAGTCCCTGATTGAGCGAAAGGCATGTGATGGCAATGAAGAGACTGTAGAGGTAAAGGTTCTGCTCAGGATGAATTTTGTGCTCTTAAGACATAGTGTTCCTTGGGCAACATAGAGCAATGCTTTGTGGTCAGTAGTCTTCTCTCTAATTGTTTCATAAAACATGAAGAAAGCAATGATGCTCAGACCATACAACTCCCATCAGAATCAGTTCCTGGAACTTAAGAAGGTTTTCACCTTCATTCCCAAGTCTTATTCTGCTCGTTTTACATTTTCAGTCTTTTCTGCTGAGAATCTTTTGGCATTTTTATGCCAGATCCTATGACCAGCTCAGGAATTTTTGAACTTTGCCTTTAATCCAACACTCAACGTAACTTCCTTGATTACTAGTTTGAAGTGTAAAATATAGTAACTTATTTTCATTTTAAATATCGGTTACACTAAAAGACAAATTGCCATTAATCCCCATCCAAATCCCCCCCTCATTTCAAGCACACTCAGCCTATCATACTTGTTACTTTCGGAAACAGTTCCGAAAGTCTTCTTTCTTGAGTATTTTTACGAGGTGTGATAAAAAGTATACGGCAAATGCTTTGGCAGAGTGCCGTCCAATAGAAAGACAGGCTAGTAAAAATATTGCCGTGTATCCATCCTCATGCACCTTATTCACCAGGTATGACACCACGCAACTTCTGGTTCTTCCTCAAAGTAAAAATGACCCTGAAAGGTAAACGGTTTGAATGGATTCAGGACATTGAGATATCCATACCAGTACAACTTGAGACCCTGATAAAAGAGACCTTCCAGAAATGCTTCAGAAAGTGGCAAGAAAGATGACATAAGTGTGTTTGAAGTAAGGAGGAATACTTTTAAGGAGATTAATGGCACTTTTACCAAAATATGTTTTTATTTGCACACACATCATATTTTGTAATCACACCTCCTATCAGAAAGGTTTGGCTAATTTCTATATCCAGAACCTTCCCACATTGTCTTCGTAAGTTATCACAGGACTCAGGGTCCCAGAGACCATAATGAGACTCATTTTCTTTGAGTTAGAATCAGCTGCAAGACCTAAAGGAACGCTGGGAATACCTCTATGAGAGAACAACTGATAAAGGGAAGAAGCTTGACGAGGCGAGTCGCCAGCAGAGGTTCACAACCAGCATCCGGGACTTTGAGTTCTGGCTCTCAGAGGTAATTGTGTCTGGAGGTGGTAGAAGCCCAGGGGTTTAATGACATTAGAAAATAAATGAATTTATATATGAATTACTTCTTTGCCCTAATGATTGGGCACATAGATGCGGAATCTAATTCTCCTTAAACACAATCTCACCTATCGGTTTTATTTCTTATCCCTCCATTCCCAGGCAGAGACATTGTTGGCTATGAAAGATCAGGCCAAGGACTTGGCTTCAGCAGGAAACCTGCTCAAGAAGCACCAGCTACTGGAAACAGAGATGTTGACTCGAACGGTAAGTAATTCTGGAGTCCCACTGCTCTGCACCAAATGAAAGTATTTCTGACTTTCTTCTTTCCTTTCTTAGTGATCATTTGAGTACAAAGCCTTGCAAAACTGACCTTGATGTTCTTTCTTAACCAAGGGTCCTTTTAGCTGGGTCAAATCCAACCCAACAGCTTTAGAGCCAATATTATAATCATTGTTGATTATTACTAAACTGTTGAGTAAGATTTCAAGAGGTGGAGTCTGAAAGCTGTCTTTTTTCTTTTTACTAATGCCTGTATACGAACTTACTCTTTTCCAAAGCATTATATTTGATATGGACTCTGAAAGAAAATAGAAGTTTAATATTACAAAGTTAAAGAGAAAAAAAATTAAGTGATGCATGTGCAGTGAATTTGAATTACACACACACACTCTGGAAGTCCCTTGAAGGACCAGCTGAAACCAAACGTCAAAACCAAAAGTTTGTCCTGGGATCAGTGACAAAAATACCATTAGGTGTTAAATTCATACTGGGGAACTCTATAGACTTTGTTGTATTTGTTAATACTGATACATACGGAAAGGGTAAGAAGTCAAGTGCTTTCTAGGCTTAAGACTTCAGGAATCAGTGGTGTTTCCATTACATAACTCAGGCGGGATTGCTGCTTTGAATGGGAATAGGCAGAGATAAGGCCAGCCTAGAAATTTTACCAATAGAATCATTCTTGTGGAATACTTTAATCAATTGGTGACTATAAAATTCTGTATTATGAAGCAAGTCAGTCCTTCATGAGGACAAGGAATTACTCACCGAAATCTTATTTTCTGGATTGGAAGAGCAAGAAAATACAGGTAAAAATATCAGAGTAAATGTGCAGTTTGAATAATAGACAGTTGAATAATGTATTCACAACCTCAAATGCTTTCTGGTCTGGCTTTTTTTCAACCTGAACACATTATACTGTGTAAAACACATAACACCATATAACTTCCAATTCAGAATCTTCAGAAACAATCTACTTGGCCTGAGCTTTGAACCAGAAGCAGTAGTGATTGAGGTCTGGAATCTGTGTAATACATGTATTATACCATTCACTGAGCACACTGGGCCTTTCTAGGATGCACTCGAGGACCTGAATAATTTGGCTCAGGATCTGGTCTCCAGTGGGACTTTCAACATTGACCAGATAGAAGAGAAAAAGAAGAGCATCAATGAACGCTTTGAGAGTGTCCAAGATTTGGCAGCTGCACACCACGAGAAACTGAAAGTGGACTATGCCTTGTTCCAGTTCTTCCAGGACCTAGATGATGAGGAATCATGGATAGAGTAGGTATCGCCAACTCACAGTATGTGGATAATCCAAGATATTAGAAGTAATGTACTGAACATGTCCCAACATATGCAAAATGAAATATGTCATTATTTCTTGAAGTTGGTTTAGCTTTTAAATTATACTTGGTCTAAAGTTAAAAAAAATTTTTTTTTTCAAATTCCTTCATTGGATGCAGGCAGAGGAAGACAAGTGTGGATGGACTGGAGAACAATGCTGGAAAGAAAACTCAGAAGCTATGGATGTTTGCTTGACATTGTTCATGCAATGTGTGATACAGAGAGAGCAAGGCACCTATAGCTTACCACATTTCAAGAACATTGTTATTATTATTTTCTTATCCAGTGTATCTTATATGACACTGACTTGGACACCAGGTAGAGAGTATTATACAGTGTCTCTCATGTTTTCAGATAAATCCTATTTTTGATACAATAACATGGGACAATTTTAGCAGATCAAAATATTTGCCCACTTCTCAATTAACCTGCCTCATCACATTTCTCTTCTACAAATATACTGGTTTTTATGAGTAATGAGGGAAAGTAGAGGGAAACATAGTTGATATAGCAATATATAGGACATTTTCAGAACCCTGGAAGTCATAAAGTAAGCATAATGTTATTTCTGTAGTTTTTTCCCTTCATGGTGATATTCAAACATTTTATACTTGGAGGCATCCAAACTATCATGACTCCAATACTAACTTTATATCCACTCTAGCTAAACATTATTGATAGTAATAAACAAAATAAATGAAGTCATATAATTTTCACATTATTTGAAAAGAGAAGCATCGCTGTATGTTCTTGAGCAAAGAGTATATAATATGCACAGGTAATAGGGATTAGGAAGAATGTGGTAGAGCTATACAATGGTGAAGATAAGCTTGTTATTTTAAAGTGTACTAGAATAAATTAGAACTGTTTTTGAAAGCTTCTGCCACTACTTATCATTTTGGTTTTGGCACCAGAGTGTTCCAGAACTTACCATTTCTCCATATACATACTCTTAGAAAATTGCTGCTTTCTAATGACCTCGTAAGTCTGAATTCCAAATTTTCCTTTTTTTTTCTTCTCTCGGTCACAGGGAGAAGTTGTTACGAGTGAGCTCCCAGGATTATGGCAAAGACCTGCAGAGTGTTCAGAACTTAATGAAAAAGCACAAACGCCTAGCGGGGGAGCTGGTGGCCCATGAATCTGCTGTCCAGGTAGAAATAGAATATCAGACATGAAGAAATATAAATAACCCAATAGAAATCCCTTGTATTTTAGTTACATGGATGACACCACAAAATATGAAAGTAACGTGCAGTGGTCACAACAAACTAGTCAAAACCACAGGTGTTCCTCACTAATCCATATTTTGTTTGCTCTAAATAGGAGGTTCTGGACAGGAAACCATGTTCTTTCTTTCCTAGAAGGAGCGTTTCTGACACTACTGGGCAGTCACTGACAGTTGGAATGTTGGTTGAGACAACTGGGAAAGTTGTATTTGATCCTTACGGGGTGAAGGTGACTCTCAGTCTGATCTGGCAGTCCCAGTGTGACCATGAATAGTGATCATGACATACAGCCTTGTGTATAAATGCTGAGGTATTTGCCAACATATCTGAGCATGATAGATCTTGCTGCAGCTTTCTTTTTTCTCTCAGGATAACCAGGACCATCTCTCGTCCCGTGAACTTTATATATGATCTAAAGAGAAGGAAGGACTAGGTACTTTGCCAGGGATTATAGCTGAATGGGGAGAGATTGTGGGGTGATGAGACATGATGGGGATTTATTCTTTAGAACGTTCTGGATATGGCAGCAAGCTTGAAAGACAAGGCTGCTGTAGGACAAGAGGAGATCCAGGAGAGAATGGCTCGGTTTGTTGAACACTGGGAGAAGCTCAAAGAGTTGGCCAATGCTCGGTGAGTGGGGGATAGAAGACCCAGTTATCTTTCTTGGATTTAGGTATTAGTCGGTGATGGGAGGATTCTTCAGGGCCTGCTTTATCATTGACTGCTCTCCCCCAAGTACATATCTATCTTATAAGTCCCTGCTCCGAAAACTAAGACCTCCGTGAAGCTTCTCACTTTGCCTAGGCAGAAACAATCACTGTCTCTATTATGAAATGTTTTTCTTCTGTGCTTTACTGCAGCTATCTTTTACCATTATTTTATACATGTGTTATCCTACAAACCAGGTTATTATCCATTTATCTGTTTTATGTCATTGCCCTGGTTTTAATTTCATGTGAACCCCTTTGTAATGAAATAGTCGGAACATACTGTTCTCCCTTGCAGCCGTATAGATAAAATGAACCACAGACCCATATAGCATAAAACAATTTCTGTCCAGAATCCCACATCTGGTTGGCAGTAGGAGGATGTTTCTTCATGGGGAACAAAAGGAGCCTTTATTTTTGTGGAATCTCTATCATATAAGAATAAAGGTGATACTCCACATAGAGACTCATGGACTCAGTACAACTCTGAAGTCTGAGCATTTCTTCTTGTTTGGGTGGGGTTTTCTTTCTGCAGTACAGTTTTCTTCATGACTAAATAATGCCCCGAGATGAATTTCTAGGGCAGGAGTCTCCATCATTTCGCAGGAGATCTGCACCACTGACCAGTAGTAGGCACATGACAGATTGTGGTCCGATCCAGTTCAGCTGTGACTGCTTTGTGCGAATCCTTGGCGGGCTTTGTTGAGATTGAACTACCCTGCTGCAGTCCCACTGCTCATTAGCACCTTCTTACCCTTATCTGGCTAATCACCCCGCGGCAGAGGCCTTCGCCTGGAAGAGTCTCTGCAGTACCTGCAGTTCATGGAGAATGCAGAGGAAGAAGAAGTGTGGATCGGGGAGAAGGAAGCTATGGTTGCTCGAGGGGATTCTGGAGACACACTGACTGCTACTCAGGTGAGGAGGAAGGATGGGTCCATTTTTCTCTCTTTAATTTGAATCTTTTGTTAAGCAGTTAATATTTTCCTCTGTCAAATTAGAACCTTTCTCCTGGTGGGAGGGAGAAAGAGATGAGTGAAATATGGACAATTCTACCAATTTTAAAAATGAATCATCAAAGGGGCTGGGGATTGAGCTCAGTGGTTCCAGCGTCTGCCTCACAAGTGCAAGGATCCAAGTTCGACCCTGGGACCAAAATAAAAAGAATCATCAAGGTCTAAAAATATAACTGAATTGGCCAAGGTCATGGAACCATCAGGCAGGAAGGCTGAACTCAAATCTTAATTCATTGTCTGTGGCCCCTAACCCAAAGAGAGCATGGGTAAAGTCCTTTTCTTACAGACTAGAATCCTTACAGGTTATAGATTTTTCCAAATACTTTTTCAAATCCTAATATGTATTTGAGAAAGATTCCACCTATGTGTGAACATTGATTGCAGTTTCCAGAAAATATAATTTTAGTAGGAGAAGAATAATTTTAGTGAGTCTATTGGACCGAATAGTTCCATAGTTTAAAGGTACACTTTTAAGTGAGGATTAGATTTCCCAATAATTGCAGTATGATCTTAAGTTAATATAGTGTTTGACAACATTTGAAAGAGTGATTACAAGATAATAATTTTCCTAGGACTTTCAGAACTGTGCGTAATAGCATTAAAAATTAAGGATGGAACTCCTGTGGAGATTAATCTTTTATTTGCTGGCATAAGGAAGGACTTAGACTTCTGAACAAAAAGTTTAACATTTAAATGGTATATATTTCAAATTATCAACTTTTCTTACTTGTAAAAGCCTTTTGGAGCATGTGTGTGCACACCACTGCATATGTTTAGGCATTTTAATCCCTTGTATCAAATATTCTCAAAGACTTTTTTAAAAAACTAAATATTTTATTGTGCAAATTACAGATTCATGTGCATTTTAAGAAATAACAGAGAGCTCCTATATATCCTTTATGAAGTTTCCTTCATTGGCAACATCAAGAAAGCTGTAATATATCATAACCAGGATAATGGCTTTATTTAGATTCAGAATGTGACCATCACCACAATTATCTGTTGTTCTTTTATAACCATGCCTTCTTTCTCTCCCTTATCCTATTCTTATTTCTTGGCAACCACTAACATACTCTGTATTTCTGCAATTTTGTCATTTTAAGAATGTGAATGAAATCATATATGACTCTTTAAGATTTGTCTTTTCACTCAACCTGGTATTTGGGTGATTAATTCAGGTCTTTGTATATAACAAATTCATTCCTTTTCTCTCCTGTTAGTATTATGGTATGAGTGTACCAGAATTGAATCACTCATTTTTTGTAAATTTATATAGGATGTTTCCACTTTGTTGCTATTTTGCAACAAAGGCTATTATAAATATTCAGGTAGCGATTCTCATTCAAGAATAAGCCTGTATTTCTCCTGGACACGTGTTCAGGATTCCAGTTGCTGGGCCATATATCAACCACCTATTTAATTTAAAAGAAAAGCCAAACTGTTTTCCAGACTATCTATAACATTTTATGCTCTCACCACCAATGCTTGAGTGACAACACTTCTCCATATCTTTGGTCATATTTTATATCGTCACTATTTTTAATGTCATGGTTCTGGTAAGGGTGTAAAGATCACTTATTGTAGTTTCAATGTGTGTATCCCTAGTAGGTGATGCTCTTTTGTATTTTTTGTGTTTGTCACCTGTATGTTCTTTGCAATGAAATGTTTCTTTAGGTCTTTTAAACATTTTCTAGGTGGATGACTTGCTTTGTTTTGTTTTCATAAAAATATTTAACATGAATGCATTATCTTAGTAAATTCTTAAGTATCCAACACATTATTTCTGGCTGTGGATGCAAGGCTATAGATCAGACCTCCAGATCTTATTCTCATTTGACTAAATTTATGCCTGATAATTAGTAACATTTCATTTTCTCCTCTGCTTAACCTCTTGTAATTGCAACTTCATTCTTCTATGAATTTATCTTATATAAAAATTTATGCAGTATCTGTCTCTATATAACTGATTTATTCCACTTAGTACTGTATAATGCCCTCATGATCAGTCTATGTTGTATGTATTGCTAGCTTTCTTCTTCTGTGAGGCTGAATTACATTCCAGTATACACATATACCACATTTTCTTGTCCAATTTTCTGTCAGTGGACAGTGGGCATTTAAATTGCTTTCATGTTTTGTCTATTGTGAATAATGCTTCACTGAACATCTCCGTGCTGTCATAATCAGCTGTCCCATTGCTGAGACATAAAATCCAACACCTGTAACTTACAGGAAGAAAAATAGAAATTAGCTTGTGGTTTCAGAAGATTCTGCATATTATCATCAGGCTCCAAGGCAGAGACCTCACAGTGGAATGGCATGGTAGAGCAAAGCTGCTTAGTTCTTGGCAGCTGAGAAACAGAGCAAGAGAACTTGATAAGAAGAGACCAGGGACCAAGGCCGTGATTGAGCTAGACACACCCAGAATTGTGCTCCACCACTCCTGGGGGTGGATCTAAAAGCCAATCAAGTTGAAACTCCACCCTAACTGTACTGCTAAACTAACCCTACTGTTAATATCTTGTCAATATTTCAATATTTTTAGATAAATACTCACAGTTAGGATTTCTGGGTCATTCAGTAGTTCTCTTTGCAATTTTTAAAGAAACATCAATAGTTTTTCATAACGGTGACACTATTTGACATTTTCACCAACACTGTGTCAGGGTCCTAATTTCTACACAACCTCGCTAATACTTGTTGTCTTTTATTATTTGTTAATCATCCTGGCAGTTATGAAGTGATGTTTCATTGTGGTTTAGTTTTTACTTCCCTAGTTATTAGAGTGAGAACTTTTCATGTAGCAGTGTGCCATTTACATGTCTTTGAAGACATTTACATTCCAGTACTTAGCCTATATTTAAAGTTATTAGCTATATTTATTAATTTATTTTAATGAGTTGAAGTAATTTCATATATATATATATATATATATATATATATATATATATATATACACACATACATACATACATACAT